CCCTATTATGACTGTATTGCTATTGATCTCTCCCTTGATACCTTCCAGAAGTTTTTTATGTATTTGGATGCTCCTGTATTGGGTGCATGTATGTTTGCCAGAATTAATATCCTCTTGTTGATTTTCTTCCTTTAGTATTATGAAGTGGCCTTCCTTATCTCTTGTTATGGCCTTTATTTTGAGGTCTAATTTGTCAGATATAAGTATTGCTACCCCAGCTTTTTTTTCTCACTATCAGTCTGTGTGAGCCCTTTGTTCTGAGGGGGGTTTCTTGTAGACAGCAGATATATGGGTCATGTTTTCTTATCCATTCAGCTCCCCTATGTATTTTGATTGGAGCATTTAATCCATTTATGTTTAAAGTTGTTATTGATAGGTACTTGTTTATCACCTTTTTTATTCTTTATGCCTGTTCCTTCTTCCCTTCCTATTTCTTCTTTTTACAGTAGTTCCTTTAGCCTTCCTTGCATTCTTGGCTTGGTGGTAATAAACTCCCTTAGCCCTTTTTGTCTATGAAGCCCTTTATTTCACCTTCAATTTTGAATGATAGCCTGACTGCATATAGTATTCTTTGATTCATTCCCTTGCTTTGCATCACTTTGTATATTTCATTCCATTCCCTTCTGGCCTGTGTGTTTCTGTTGAGAAATCAGTTGATAGTCTAATGTGAGATCCTTTATAGGTAACTTTCTGTCTCTCTGGCAGCCTTTAAGATTCTTACTTTGTCGTTGGTGTTTGCCAATTTAATTATGATGTGTCTTTGTGTTGGTCTTTTTGGGTTCATCTTGTTTGGAACTCTGTGTGCTTTTTGAACTTGTGTGAGTTTTATCTTCCAAATATCAGGGAAATTTTCTGTCATTTCTTCAAGCAGGTTTTCTCTTGCTCAGTTTCCTCTCCTTCTGGCACCCCTATTATGCATATGTTGTTTCATTTTGTGTTGTCCTAAAGCTCCCTGAGGCTCTCCTCCTGCTTTTTAAGTTTTTTGTTTTTTTTTTTTCAATTGCTGCTCTGCTTGGGTGTTTTTTCCTACCTTGTCTTCTAGCTTGCTGATACGGTCCTCAGATTCTTCTAATCTACTGTTGTTGTTTTCTATTGTGTTCTTTTTTGCAGCTATGTCATTCTTCATTTCTTCTTTCTTCTTCTTCATTTCATCTTGATTCTTACACATGTTGAATTTGTCTTCCATCCTTTTCAGCATCCTTATGACCATTTCTCTGAATCCTTTCTCTGACAAATTGCTTGCCTCCATTTCGTTTACTTCATTTTCTGGTGATTCCTCCATTTCTTTTGTATGTGGGCTGTTTCTTTGTCTCCCCATTTTTCCTCCTCTCAAGGTGTCTGGTTATGTAGGTCACTCTCTACCACGTTGACCGAAAGGCACAAAGTACAATTTGACAAGACACGACACAGAGGGAAGAAAACACAAATGTATTCACCACACCGATAACCCCAATAAAGGTGACTACAAGAGAAAACAGAATTTTGGGAGAGAAAAGAGCACAAAAATGATATTGGGAAAAGGGGAAACAGTAAGAATGAAAAGAAAAAAGAAGGGGAAAGAACATACATATGTGGGGAGATAACTTCACGAAACAAATAAACCAAAAAATGCAAACAACAAACACCGAGAGATAAATGCAAGCTATAAACAACAACTAATAAGTGAAATCTGAAGAGGCAGAGCTTATTTCCAGAAAGTAAGGTAAAGAAATTGAATGAATGGGGGAATGGCTATGGTTCAGTATAGAGGAGGTAGAAAGAGAATGAGTGTATAAGAGGAAAAATAAAAAACAAAATAGTAAATATATTAAATAAATAAATTTCCCCCTTTCGTTAATCTATCTGTATATTCACCATATTTTTGAAAAGGAGAATAGAATAGAGAGCAAATAGGCTTGACTTTGGTGAGTGAAACTAATTAAGTAATTAGGAGAAGAAGAGAGTAAGTGAGGAAAGGAAAAACAAAAGCATAAATAAATAAATTGGCTAGCCAAGATAGAGAAAAGAGAAGGGTGCATGGACTTGAGCAGGGGAGAGGAAATTAGATATATGAGTTAGCCAACAGAGACTACTATAACAGAACACATCAATAAAGCAGATAAAAACAATCAATTTTTAACAAGGAGCAAAAAGAAAGGAGAGAAAAAAACTAAATCAGGAACAGGAGAGGAGAAACAGGATGAAAAAGGGAGCAGTGAGGATGAAAAGGTTGGCAAAATGAGATAAAGCAAAATAATGATAAAAAATAAAAATAGCATGTAGAGCACTAATCAAAAAAATAAAACGTTAAAAAGTAATAATAATAAAACAAATTTTTTTCTTTCCCTTTCTTAAGTAAAAGGTAAAAATTAAAAAAGTGAAGTGTTGTTTGCTTCAGCTGAGTTTTAATGTCCCATGGGGGCTGGATTAAGACCCCTCTCTACTGTTCTGTTTGCCATTTTTCAGTTTCCTGTTAGGTAGTCAGGACCTGTTGAAGTTCCCAGCAATCTACCACTCCTCTGTACCTGTCTCCACAGGCTTGGATTTAGGCATGCAGGACAATCTGCCCACTTTGTTTGTCTCTCTGCTTTCAGTCATATTTACAGAAGCATCTATTTCTGACACGGGTTCTAGCTGGCAGTGTTGCTTTATTAGTTTCTGAGGCCGCTAGGAGGCCAGCAATCTACCACTCCTCTGTACCTGTCTCCACAGGCTTGGATTTAGGCATGCAGGACAATCTGCCCACTTTGTTTGTCTCTCTGCTTTCAGTCATATTTACAGAAGCGTCTATTTCTGACACAGGCTCTAGGTGGCAGTGTTGCTTTATTAGTTTCTGAGGCCGCTAGCTCTTCTGGAGAAAAATGGCTGTTTAGGGTTGGAGGGACCTGGCTGTCCCAGAGCTGGATTCCTGGTCGCCTCTCCCTGCTTTGCTCCTCAGCCTCCACCAAACCACGCCCACTTCGGAGTGTGTTTGTAATTGAAAGATCCTATGCACTGGGTTTAGCGAGTAAAAGTAAGGGCAATATAAAGATAGAGCAACCATGCTGCTGAGTGATTCTCTCCCCCTGGCACTGCATGGCCAGTATAGAACTTCAGGCTGCTTTTCTGGGTGCATCCTCCCATGGCTGTGGACTAAGATCTAAAGTCCCCCACTGCCAGCAGCCCTGTGGACCCCCTTTCATAGTCGAGTGTTACATGTGTCCCCATGGGACGCAGACTTGGTGCAGCGCAGTTTCCTTCTGACCCTCTCATCCCGGTGGTTGTGCGTTTCTCTTTCCAGCCCAGATCCCTGATCCTACCATTCTCCAGATGTCCTCTGTCCTTTCGGCCATGGATTATCTCACCAGCTGTGTTTAATTCGCCAATTCCAGGTGGATGTTACTCGATTCAGCTGTTTCTTCTATCTGCTCTCTGAGAAGGCGCAGGACACGTCTGCCTATTCGGCTGCCATTTTGTCTTCCCCCAGACAAACTTTTTAGGAGCCTGCGGCCAGGGAGGCTGGAATCTCGGTGTTCGTGGGTTCACAGCCGAGGCAGCAGGTCCCTGGCTGGTGTTGATGCAGGGTCCCGGGTGATGTCCGAAGGCTCCCTGGGTGGAGGTGAGGCTGGGCTCCCAGTCACAGCAGCTCTCTCCTTCAAGATGGCACAGCCTCTGCAGCGGAGCCGGCCGCCCTGGGAGAGATTTCAGTGGTAAGAGAGGCCACCCAGCTAGGGGAGCCTGGTCCGCCAGCCCCCAAAAGTCCTGCGGAATATAGCTGTCTCTCATTCACACACACACGCCCCACATGCCCACGCACTCCCCTTTTGCTCCCTCACTCACACTCTCTCCCTCACGGCTATCCTGTCGGCCGCCATCTTTGATTCTATTAGTTACATTTTAAGTGCTTAATGTCTATGTGACTAGCAGAGGATACCTGTTGCACAGCTCAGATAAAGAATATTTCCATCATCACAGGAAGTCCTATTGGACAGCGCTGGTTTAGATCATTTACATTTAATTTAATTATAGATAGAGCTGGATTTAAGTCTATTAATTTGTTCCAGGTTTTTTCTTTAATTTTTTTTCTTATCCTGTCTTCTTTTGGATTAACCGAGTATTTTTATGATTGCACTAGAGGCCCGGCACACGAAATTCGTGCATGGGTACGGTCCCTAGGCCAAGCATGCAATCAGAGCCATCTTCCCCAGCTGCTTGCAGTCGGCCCCGCCCCCCGCCACCACCCACCCTCAGTTCCCTGTTTGCCATCAGTTGATTGGAGCTGCCGACTGGGGGGAGGAACCGAGAGGTCGGCCATTCTGCCTGCTCACCAGCCCTGCCCCCTGCCGCCACTCACCCTGTTTCCCCATTTGCCATTGGGCAATTAGAGTCTGACAGCCAGGGGAAGGGACCAAGACATGGGCCATTCCCGCCTGCTCACCGACCCCGCCACGGGTTGCCCTCTGTGTGTGGGGTGACTGGTGGGGCGGGGGCCTTGGCCTGGCGCCACCCACATCCCCTGCCACCCACCCCTGGTTCCCTGTTCACCATCGGGTGATTGGAGCCTGCCAGCCGGGGAAAGGGACCAAGAGGTGGTCAGTGCACCTCATGGTGACTGGTCGAGTGGACGTTCCGCCATTAGGGTTTTGCATATTATCCTTTTATTTTATAGGATTTTATCTCCTCTATTGGCTTATTAACTATACCTCTGTTTTTAAATTTTTTTTAAAATAGTAATTGATGCAGGCTTTAACTGACACACACTACCTTCAAACTGTGCTATAGTAGTTCATGTATGACATGAACCAATAGGACTTCCTGTGATGATGGAAATGCTCTATATCTGAGCCGTGCAACAGGTATTTACTAGTCACATGCAGATATTAAGCACAGAAACATTGCATGTTCAGTTCCTATACATGTGCAGATCTAGTCCCCTTCCTATCCTTTGTGCTGTCATTATTATATGTTCTGCTGCTTCATGTATTATAAACCCTGTAATAATTGTTGTTGCTTTAAACATTCAGTTATATTTTCAAGAAATTTAAAAAAGCAAAAAATTCTCTCATATTTACTCATATTTTTACCTTTCCTGTAGTCTTCATCCCTTTTTGCAGATCTGAGTTTCCATTGTCATTTTCCTTTCTCTTGAAGAACTTTTAACATCTCATATAGTGTCTGTCTGCTTACAAAGAATTTTCTCAGATTCTGAAGATGTCTTCGTTTTGCCTTCATTTGTAAAGGATATTTTCACTGGATATAGAATTTCTTCTGGAATTTTTTTCACACGCCCTTATCTCCAACTGACTTGTCAACCCAGTAAGACTGCCATTTGCATGTTAACCTCTATCTTTGTATAGCAGTGACTGAGCAGCACTCTTAGGAGAAAAGCTAGTAAGTATCATCTCACCTTATATAGTTTCCTTCTCTCAAGAGTCTCCCCTTCAGTGTCTGTCAACCTTTGGTTGCACTCCAGTTCCTTGAAAAAAAATTGATTATAATTATTATTAACGGGGAGGTTAGTGTTATATAATTACTCTACCATTACTGGGCGCTAGAACTATAGCTATAATTTTGTATTGTACTTTTTTCACTTAACTTCTTAACATAAGAATTAAAGTGTTCCTTTTTCTGTGGGAGCCATTGAGTTGAGAGGAGTGTAGCCGCCTCTCCATGCACTTAGTGTACTCCAAAAAGGGGAAATTATCTGGCAAAAATGTCACTTTGCCTACTGTGTTCAAGGCTCCCTTTCAACCAGATATTGTGGGCTTTGTTCACATCAACTTATGCAAAAACAATAGACAGTCCTGTGCTGTCAGTGGTCAGTGAATTGGCAGGTCATCAAACCAGTATGGAGTCTTGAGGTACTGGCAGAGCTGTGACTCGAATTCCCAGAGTTTGAGGTGGTGGGACTCCTTGTTCTACACAGGGTGCTTTTGGAAATATGTCATGGGGCCACCACCTGTTTGTACCAACAAAAATCTGGCGTCATTGGCATCACAGAGTGAACACAACATTTAAGTGCTATGCCATCTGCTCTGCCGTGGCTGCCTTGGCCTTCCCAGCGCTGGTCATGTCTGAAGGTCATCACATTGAGGAAGTTCCTGAACTTCCTTTGGTGGTTGAAGGTAATGTTGAAGGCTACAAGAAGACCAAGAAGGCAGATTTATTTTTTAAGATACTTAAGGCCTGGAAGGATGTTAAAAAGGTCTATGCCTCTCAGCTAATGAGAGCTGGCAAGGGCAAAATGAGAAATCATTGTCATATCCAGGGCAGGGGACCTTGCATCATCTATAGTGCAGACAACGGTATCATCAAAGCCTTCAGAAACATTCCTAGAATTACTCTACTTAATTTAAGCAAATAGAACATTTTGAAACTTGCTCCTGGTGAACATGTGGGCTATGTCTGCATTTGGACTGAACGTGCCTTCTGCACGTTAGATGAACTCTATGGCACTGTGTAAAGCTGTCTCCCTTAAGAGTAACTACAACCTTCCATGCACAGGATGCTCAATACAGACCTGAGCAGAATCTTGGAAAGCCCAGAGATCCAAAGAACCCTCCGAGCACTACGCAAGAAAATTCATCGCAAAGTCATAAAGAACAATCCCCTGACAAACCTGAGAATCATGTTGAAGCTAAACCCATGTGCAAAGACCGTGCATCAGAACACCAGTCTTCTCCAGGCCAAATCAGATGAGAAGGGGGTTCCAGGCATGAAGCCTGTGGTGTGGGAAAGGAAGGAAAAAAGGTCTTGCCGTTACGAAGGAGAAGAAACCTTTGGTGGGAAATAGGCTGCAGATACCAGGAAACCGGCAACTGTGAAGAAACCCACAGAAAAGAAACCTACCACAGAAGAAAAGAGGCCTGCAACATAAATTTAAATTTGTTTCATAAAAGTCAAATCAGCCGAAACCGGTTTGGCTCAGTGGATAGAGTGTCGGCCTGCGGACTGAAAGGTCTCAGGTTCGATTCCGGTCAAGGGCATGTACCAGGGTTGCGGGCACATCCCCAGTGGGAGATGTACAGGAGGCAGCTGATCGATGTTTCTCTCTCATCGATGTTTCTAACTATCTATCTCTCTCCCTTCCTCTCTATAAAAAATCAATAAAATATATTTTAAAAAAAATAAAAGTCAAATCACTTTGGATAGCTAATTTTGAATAAAAACCTGATCAAAGGCAAAAATAATTAAACTTATTAAAACTGTATCACAAACATCTTTAATGACTTTAAACATTCTGTTTTATGAGTGAATATGCCATAGTTTACTTGGGTATTTTCCTATTTTGGAAATCAAATATTTCAATGTTATAAATAGTGCTGGACTCATTATATAAAGAGAAGAACTATGTTATGAGGGTCTGGACACATTTCTCACAGATTTACTTAAATCAGTTGTATCTTGGGGAAGTATAATGGTCATAAATTCTTTAGTTTCTTTGATTTTTTTTATTCTTTCAAACTTGCTTACATCCTATTTTAGTAAAAGTTTTATTTTTATCATTACGGTTTTTCTTCTGCAGAAAAGAGAAAATATTCGTTCTTTAACTATGTCTGGCCATGTTGGTTTTGAGAGTTTGCCTGATCAGCTGGTCAACAGATCCATTCAGCAAGGCTTCTGTTTTAATATTCTCTGTGTTGGTAAGTGCCAGACTTTTCCTCTAAATTGTTCTTTCATATTCCTTGTGCTCACTTCATTCTTGTAAGATGTGTGGTGCTCATGTTATCAATTTGAGATCATGATCACAGATATTTTTCAGTTATTTAAATTCTATGAGTTTTATTTTTTAGCTGTACTACTTTAATTTTTTTGTTTGTTCTTTAAACATTTCAGTACTTTCTTCAACGTTCTGAGTAACTTACTCATTTTTATGTTCTACTAATGACTTAGTGGACCACCCTTAGCGTATATTTTTTTCTTGGACAACTCAGCTATTGAAATATTTGAAACATTTGGAATCCTTAAAACCATTCTAAGAGTTTATAGTTCTATTTTTTTCTCATCCATCCTGTGCACCTGTGAAGATATACCTTTGTTTCTTTCAGGGGAGACTGGAATTGGAAAATCAACGTTGATTGATACATTGTTTAATACTAATTTTGAAGACCATGAATCCTCACATTTTTGCCCACATGTTAGACTTAAAGCTCAGACATATGAACTTCAAGAAAGTAATGTTCGATTGAAATTGACCATTGTGAATACAGTGGGATTTGGTGACCAAATAAACAAAGAAGAGAGGTACATGTTTTCTTCTTGTAATAAAACAAATTTTTCTTAATTCAGGACATTTGTATTCTTGCCCTATGAGCTATGATTTGATTTTCTACTATGGAAATCCATATCTTAGCCTCCCAGACTTTTAGTTTTTTAAATCATTAAGCAATATTTTATTCTCACTAACAATCGACATTTCTATATTTGGTTATTTAATTTCTTTAGAATAATTTGAATTACATTATTAAAATGTCTGTTTCAGCAAAAATAGTTTTAATTATTTTCTGATATATGCCAATATAGTGTATTTTAAGTGACTTGTACTTATTTTCAGACAAGACTTATTTCAGTGAGGGTAAAAAAAAACCAGTAAGACATACAATGGCAAATATAAATGGCCAAATCCATGGTGCATGAATTTTTTTAATGAAATTCGAATCAAATTAGCCAGGTACCTTATTATGCATTACAGGAAAGGTTTGGTAATGATATTTCTATTTTATATTATGTTATTATTTCTCTTGTGTTATTATAAAGATTGATTATAGGTTCTGTAATCAGATTTAGTTTAAATCTGAAATTTAAACTAAAAAAGGGGGAAGTAGATTGGAGTAAAGCAATAACTATTGTTCTTTTTTTCCTTTTTTGGAATGTATATATTTTCATTATTAGAGGTAATTTCCTATTTTTCTAAAGTTTGCTTTAGAGAGAAAATATTTTGCATAATTGACTCTTATGTAATTTATGTTAGCCTTTTCAGCGCATTTGTGTGTTCGCTTTAAATTTCAAGAAATGATTTGTGTGTGCTTTTTGGAAGAAACAGACCAGTGGCAGAGGCAAAGGCCTGTGACAGGCTACTTTAAATCATATTAGTTTTTAAAATAATGTTCTATATAGAGATCTTGGGCATTTTCGATGATCTCTACATGGTACCTTTTAAAAGTATTTCATTTTCTATAGAAATATTGTATAGAAATATCAATTTTAAATATAGCAACTTTTGTAAATTCTCTGATTAATTACAGTAATTCACTTCTAATATTTAGATTTCCTGTGTATGTGATAGTATAATGACGTTTATATTTCCAATCCTTTTTTTCTTTTTAAATGTTTTGTTGCTATATAATTTACATAGAAAAAATAAAATGTATTGATTTTATTCAGTGGGCAATTCAGTTAATTTTGACAAATGTGTAGATTTGTTGTCACCACCATGATTAGATATAGGAGAAGGCCATAGTCTTGAGTGCTTTTCTCATATGCACGTGCACATGCAGATGAGGGCTTTGCCAAAGCCAGACGGGCCCTCTCCAGACCTGCATTGCTTTCTCTTGGTGTAGCTCCTTTTCCCAGTGTTCTTGCCTACAAATGCTAATTGTGTTAGCCTCCCTGAACTGCTGTCTATATCTCTCCAGTCAGAGTTGGCCAGGCTCTGTTCTCTCTTCTGTGCTATGCCCTGGAAACTTGTCTCCAGGCAATAATCTGAGGAAATTGTTGAGCTCTCTTCATTTACTTCCCACCTTTGTGACCACAGTTTTATACTGCCTATTGTCCATTGTCTGAAAACCTTTGTCCAAGTTTCTGGCTGTTTAAGGTGGGAGGGTAAATCCAGTCCCATTTACTCCATCGTGTCTGAAGACGGTAGTCTTTATTTTTCTTTCATTTTATTTTAACTTTTTTTTTTTTTGCTTAAAATATTACAAAGAGTAGTCATTTGTCTCGGTAAGAGTTCCTTCTTTTTTACAGCAGCATAGTATTCCATCGTGTAGATGTACCACAGTTTTCTAATCCATTCATCTACTGATGGGCACTTAGGCTGTTTCCAAATCTTAGCTATGGTGAATTGTGCTGCTATGAACATAGGGGTGCATATATCCTTTCTGATTGGTGTTTTTGGTTTCTTGGGATATATTCCTAGAAGTGGGATCACAGGGTCAAATGGGAGTTCCATTTCCAGTTTTTTGAGGAAACTCCATACTGTCTTCCATAGTGGCTGCACCAGTCTGCATTCCCACCAGCAGTGCACAAGTGTTCCTTTTTCTCCACATCCTCTCCAGCACTTGTCGTTTGTTGATTTGTTGATGATAGCCATTCTGACAGGTGTGAGATGGTACCTCATTGTTGTTTTGATTTGCATCTCTCGGATGATTAGTGACTTTGAGCATGTTTTCATATGTCTCTTGGCTTTCTGAATGTCCTCTTTTGAAAGGTGTCTATTTAGGTCCTTTGCCCATTTTTTGATTGGATTGTTTATCTTCCTTTTGTTAAGTTGTATGAGTTCCCTATAAATGTTGGAGATTAGGCCCTTATCAGATATAATGTTGGCAAATATGTTCTCCCATGTAGTGGGCTTTCTTGTTGTTTTGTTGATGGTTTCTTTTGCTGTGCAGAAACTTTTTATTTTGATGTAGTCCCATTTGTTTATTTTCTCTTTAGTTTCCAATGCCCTAGGATCTGTATCGGTGAAGAAATTGCTTCGGCATATGTCTGAGATTTTGTTGCCTTTGGATTCTTCTAGTATTTTTATGGTTTCCTGTCGTATATTTAAGTCCTTTATCCATTTTGAGTTTATTTTTGTGTATGGTGTAAGTTGGTGGTCTAGTTTCATTTTCTTGCATGTATCTGTCCAATTTTCCCAGCACCATTTATTGAAGAGACTGTCTTGACTCCATTGTATGTTCTTGCCTCCTTTGTCAAATATTAATTGAGCGTATTGGTTGGGGCTGATTTCTGGGCTCTCTATTCTATTCCATTGATCTATATGTCTGTTCTTGTGCCAGTACCAGGCAGTTTTGAGAACAGTGGCTTTGTAATACAGCTTGATATCTGGTATTGAGATCCCACCTACTTTGTTCTTTTTCAGGTTAGAATAAGGGAGTTTCTCTATGTTACAATAGTTGTGGGTGTTTTGGTTTTTTTTTATTATTCATCTATATATATAAAAGATTAATATGTTAAGTGTCCCTCCAACCGTCCGACCAGCCACTATTACACGCATTGACCACCAGGGGGCAGACGCTCAACACAGGAGCTGCCGTAATGTGCACTGGCCATTTACAAAGAAACAGCACTGTTGACCTGGTGCCAACAAAGCAACACTCAGCTTTCCCCAAGTGGGACATAGGCCCCGCCACCACCCCAAGCAACATCCCACCAAATCGCAGCCAATGTTGCCGACACCCCATGGTGCAAAATGTGGCTCATAGCCCAGCCCAACCCAGAAACGTCTCTGTGGGCACCAGGTAATGACACCATGTAGCAACTCCCGGTTTCCTCTCCCTAGTGACTAGCCGCCGTGGAGTTTCTTCAGCCCAGGATCACGACTTGCTTTATAACCAGGTGCAAACATTTTACACTTTAACCAAATGTCTGTGAAGCATTTTCCTGTGCCTCATCTCATTTGATTCTCACAGAAGTCCTGGAGCAGGGAGATAGGAGACTTGGTGGAATCCTATTTTCTTTTCATTAACCAGAAAATGGAGATTTTACCCTTTTATTAGTATAGATGTGGCCAATATTTATTATCCTTTTAACCAAAATTTTGTTTTGCTTTCATAGTTGAAATTTGAGTTGAATATACAATTTTTGATGGGCAATTACTTTCTTTCTTCCCATTGAAGATAGATTCCACTTGTCCCATGGCTTTTATTTTTACTGTTGAGAAGTCAGCTGTTGGTCTGTCTGCTCCTTTAGAGTACTCTTCTTTTTTTCCTCCAGTGCTTTTCAGATCTTTCTTTTTGCTGTTCTCCAGTTTTACCATAATGTCTAATTTTTTATTTATTTCTAATTTATTCTGTCAGTGATTTGTTTGACTTCTTGAGTCTGAATAGTACCATCAGTTCTTTAAAATAATCTGAGACATCATCTTTATATATTGCTTCTGCCCTTTTTATGTTTCCTTTCCTTCTGAAACTTTGGTGAAATATGTTAGATTTTCCCATTGTGTCATTAATGTCTCTTACTTTTAATCTCTCTTTCATATTTTTATTTTTCCCCTCTTTCTACATTGTTTTCATAGTTGTTATTTATCTTCCAGTATAGTAATTCTCTCTGTAGCTTTGTCTAATATAGGAGTGGAGAACATCTGGCTTGCGGGCCCACAAAATCATTTGGTCTGGCCCTGCCAAGGCCTTAGGGATATTTAATTAAATGTTTGGTCAAATACAGCAGGCTAATTTTTAAGTTGATAATTTTGTATGGCCTGAGAATGATGTTATAAATATCCAAATGGCCCTTTAAAGAAAAAAGGTTCCCCAGCCCTGGTCTAATGTATACTATTAAACTAATACATTGCGTTTTATATTTTGGTTATTATATTTTTCAAGTGTGTACACTCTGTGTAGTTCCTATCTGTAGGATCACTTGTTATACTTTACTATTCCCAGCACATATGTTTAAGCTGCCTTTTATTTCTGTTTCTTTTATCTCTACTCATAATTATATCTTATAATTCCAGTATATTAAAATTTTGCAGTTAATTTACTGATGTTTGTTTTTTCCTTTGGTTTTCATTCATTGTGCTTTTTATTTTCTCATGTGCTTGGTCCGTCCGTCCTTCCTTCCTTCCTTCCTTCTTTCTTTTTTTGTAGTTAATGGCCTTTGAAAAGTTATTTCTAGAGATACTTTGAGGTCTAAGGTGAACATACCTTGCTATGAACAGATTTGTGTTTGCTTATGTTAAGCCCCTCTGGGCATTAATACTCTGAAGATCCCTAAACCTTTCTCGTGGCTTGAGGTTTCCAGAATCAAAGAGGAAATGTGCTACAGATATGGGCCACAACTACTCAACAATGGGTCTTTTCTTCCTTTCCTTTTATTTTTCTGCTTCATTTAGTGCCAGGCAGCCTTCCCTATAGATTCTTGGGGAGAGAGTAGGAAATGTAGACTTAATCTAGTTCATTCTCACCCTGAAGGTTTAGGCTTTTAGGATCTCAGCTCAACGTGGGGAGGCAGTCTCAATAGATTTCCACCTTGTGTGGGTCTTGGACTTTGATTCTTCCTTCTCATCTTATAAGTTCCTCAGAAGCAAAGCCCAAGAATTAGAGTGACAAATGACTTCAGGACGAACTAGCACTGATGCTTTAGTGTAGGGATTAGTAAACTTTTTCTGTAAAAGGCCAGATAGTAGATATTTCAAGCTTTGAAGGACATATAGTTTCTGTCTATACTATTCAACCCTTAGTACAAAAGCAGCCAAAGTGCATAAACAAGTGAATGTTGCTGTTTCAATAAAACTTTACTTATAAAAACAGGCATCAGGCTGGATTTGCCTCTGCTTACCTTTCTCAGTTTCCACACACTCTTCAAGTTAAAAAAATGTTATTAATTTTTAGAAAGAGAGGAAGGGAAACATGAATGAGAGAGAAACATTGACCGGTTGTCTCCTGCATGCCCCCTACTGGGGATTGAGCCCGAAACATGGGCATGTGCCCTGACTGGGAATCAAACTGGCAACCTCTCAGTGCATGGGATGGGACAATGCTCAACCAGCTGAGCCTCACCGGCCAGCTCGTATATTCTCTTCAATTTTTACCTGGTTAGTTCCTTACCACTTTATGAGTACTTTGACATTTTAAGAGGTGATTCTTCTGTTTTAAGCCAGTGTCTTTCATTTCATTAGAAGAGTGATCCTGCAATTTACTGGAAATGGAAACCTAGGGCAAATTACTATGGAATGGCATATTATTTAACTGAGAAAAGACATGAGTATCAATAACTTAATAGACACTAAAGTAAAATTTCATGACTTCTTGCTTCTTAAATGAGATTTGTAAGGCATGAAAATCATGAACATATTAAGGAAGGAAGGCACACATCAAGTGAAAGGATAATATCAATAACTCAGGCAAGTGTGGGAACCTTGTCAGAAAGGGGTCCATTGTATGAATGAATGTGAGAATGAATCAATGTAAATTCAATATCATTTCTGTAAAACAGTTTAAAGCACTATCTTTGCACGTGCATGTTTTGCACAATTTAATACTAAAGTTATCTGTTTTGCATAGAGATTAAGTGTTTATTAATTGATGAAAATATAGATCTCAAAATTTAGAGGTATAGATATCTTATTAAGGTCACATGAATATGTTGTATTCAGTATTTAAATAATTATTTTTCCAGCTACCAACCAATAGTTGACTACATAGATGCTCAGTTTGAGGCCTATTTGCAAGAAGAACTGAAGATCAAGCGTTCTCTCTTTAACTACCACGATTCTCGTGTCCATGCATGCCTCTACTTCATCTCTCCAACAGGCCACTCTCTGAAGACATTGGACCTCTTAGCCATGAAGAGCCTTGACAGCAAGGTGGGTTTGGAAGAGAAATAAAACTTATCCTGCTGTAATATTTATTTTGAATTATTAAAATACCTTTATGATAATATATGTAGAACTTTCATTCTTTGCATTTTTAAAATATTTGCTAAGTTTCAATCTTAGGTTATTTTCCAGAGAAATTTAGTTTGGAAGATGAGACGCAAAGAAAAAACATTAACATAAAACTTTAGTTCCTTTTTAAATGCTAGTAGCAGCACTTTTTAAAAATATATATTTTTATTGAATTCAGAGAGGAAGGGAGAGGGAGAGAGGTAGAAACATTAATAAGAGAGAATCATTGATCAGCTGCCTCCTGCACGCCTCCTACTGGGGATTGAGCCCGCAACCCAGGCATGTGCTCTTGACTGGAATCGAACCCGGGACCCTTCAGGACACAGGCTGACACTCTATCCACTGAGTCAAACTGCCTAGGGCAACTTTAGTTCTTTTTTTATAATAAATTGTATGTCAGAATATGAGAATTTATTTACATTTTCTTTAAAAATGCCTATCAGTACTCCATTCCTTTTAATTAATTACTGAATAATATTCCATTGTATGGATATGTCATATTTTCTCTATTCATCAGGTGATGGACATTTGGGTTTTGGCTACTCTGAATAATGCTGCTAATGCACACATTTTTGCATGGTCACATAATTTTTAGTTCCCTTGGCTGACTACCTAGGAAGATCAAGCGTTCTCTCTTTAACTATTGCTAGGAGTGATAGTTTATTAGTTTGTCTGCTAGAGCTGCTATAACAAAATACGACATACTGAGTGGCTGAAATAACAGAAATTTTCTCAGTTTTGGAAATTAGATGTCTGAAATCAAGGTGTAAGCAGGTTTGATGTCTTCTGGGCTTGCAAAGGCATTCACCAGCAGAAAACTAACTTTTTTCTTGCTAAAATTATTTTTGATGACAAAACTTCTAGGGCCTTATCATGTTAAAAAAAAATCGGGGTAGAGGAAAAATAGGGTGTGCACACATGACAGAAAATCCCTTTCTTCACATTTGGTTAATAACACTTGCAAAATTCTATTTAGAATCTTTATGCCATTGGTGCTTTGTAAGAGCCAGTGTATAAATGGACAGGGTACATCCAGGACTGTTCGTTTCTCTTGTGTAGTGAAAATCCTATGGCCCAGGGTCCTGGTGGAATTTAGTTTTGGAGGCTGGAAGTTCGAGATCAGGGTGCCAGCAGGGCTGTGTGAGGGTCATCTTCCTGGTTGCAGACTTCTCATTGTAGTCTCACATGGTGGAAGGGTCACTTACATTTTTTAAATGTGGAATTTATTTGACGCTAATTTTACTTTATGACAAGTTCATTGACAAAGATTAAGATGAAATGTTTTATCATATATTACTGTAAATTGTGTTTTAATGTGAACTATACCAAAAAAACTATTTTTGAATTTATGAGCCAAGGACATATATATAAATTTAGGGATCTATAAAAAATATTATTCACAAATTAACTCACTTTGGATTTTTTTGTTTAAAAGGTGATTATAGACTACTATTTTATACTAAAAAAATAACTAGAAATTTTCTGTAACCTCAAATATTATGAGAAATTCAGTTTTCATTATCCTGGCTAGTTATTTTATGAGATAGTATTCAGAAAGCAAGGTCATTCTGGGCATTACTACTTTCTGTGTAGATATCAGAGTGGAAAGCATGAAGGACTGCCAGTGAAGTCTTGGTGCATAGATCAATCGACTTTTCACTAGTTGCAGGCTCCTGGTCTTAGCAAAAATTTGATGAAGCTTATTTGATAGCTGGTTCATCTCACCAGACTTTGTAACCACTTAGCCAGTTATTTTCATTATTTAGTCTGATTATATGGAAGTTCATATTTATTAATAGAACATAAAAGCAAGAGTGTGCAACTTTGTCTTAGCTGGACAGAAGCAACATGATGTAGTTTGTGTAAAGATCATAGAATTTGGTGTCAGTAAAGGCTGGTTTTTAAATATTAGCTCTGTCACTTAATAGCTGTATGTTCTTTGGCAAGTTATTTAGCCCTCTGAGCCTCAGTTTCTTCACCTCTAAAATAAAAGCTAGGGAGTTTTAAAAAGAGGTGATCTCAAAAGGCAGATGTGAAGATTAATTAAAATTGATAGTTTGTCCTTTGTTCCTAAAAGCAGAACACTCCACTGCTCACATGGAAACCTACCTTATCTTACCCTCAATGTGAGACATGTTGCTTTCCCTCCCCCTGATACACAAATACTCATTAGGTTTATCTTTCGGTCTGTGTGTGTCCTCAAGCCTATTGATAGTGATGCTCATGGTTAGAAATGCCGAAGGTACTCGTCCGACTGGATTTACTCATAGCATGAGCTCCACAGACATCTCCCACCCCTACCACCACCACCAGAGTCTGTGTCCTGGCTGGGCCAGCCCTTGTGGTTCTTATTATGATCTTAGGATGCACTTTAGCAAGAAACCATCAGGGAACTTAGAAGAACAAGATTTGTTACAGATTCCTGGAGGGTACACAGCACACCCAAGGACCACACAGGAGATCAGGAGAAGAGAGAAAAGGAGGGAGTACAAACCTGGAACTCTGTGTTTATTAGGGTTCAAGGGTGGGGTATCTTGGGTGTTGTGGGTTTGCTCTTTTTGGTGAATGTAAAGCCTAAGAGTGAGAATTAGAGTGTGGAAAGGGAGATGTGGGTCAGTTCTTTAGGTGGCTCAGGCTGTCTAAAAGGGGAACTTCATGGGTCGGACAGCCTGGTTCCTTACTGGTGTTTTGCTAGTAGCTTTGTCATATACCTGGCAATATATTTATTCAAGTTTGATGTCTTTGAAATGGATACCTTAGCAATTGAAAGCTTAAGGTCAGGCACTTTTATTACAGTCAAAAAGCTTAACATTGGGCACTTATACTGCAGCCTGCTTTCTGTACTTATTGTGGATGCAATTATATAAGTTATTAGCATAATTTATTGAATATTTAAGTACATCATATTGAACTTTGCATCAACTTTTTTTTTTTTTTTTTTTTTGAAATGTCAGCTTAAAGCATACACTTTCTCTTTTACTCTTAAATATCTTGGACAAAGACTATGATTAAATAATTTAACATAAAAGCTATTTTTATTTACCCACAATTGAAAGTTTTCTGTCATTTATTTCATGGATAGTTAGAAAAATTTTCACTTCCATATTTAAGACTAATAAATCCAAATATACCAGTAAATCAGTGTGAAATTGGAGACGAGAAAGAAATTTAAGAATTGAGTAGAAATTATTATTTTTAGTTTTCATTTTTATTTTTGAAATTATATTGATATCTCACTCTCTTGACACATGTGACTAGTTAGCCTGAAATTTCTCACTAAAAACAAACTAAATAACCAAAACCCAAAAAATCTACACACCCCTAAATTTGTGTAGGTATCCATCTTTTATGGTGACATTAATTTTATAGAATTAGCTTTTTACAAGTTTGTTGGCCTTCATGACCCCAGATCTCTTTCTCTCTGGCTGGTGACAGGACTTCAAATAATGCTGAGAAAGTTAGTCCTTTGAGTTAGGAACATTCTCAGTTAGTCATAAAATTTTCTTCCTTTAACATCTAGGTAGGAGTCACTGCTGATGAGGCACAATTTGGATAGATTCTTTGGGGAAAGGGAGCTGTTGAAATCAGAGGCAGAAGGAGAAACAACCTGTTTCACAATTTTGTATGGGATCAATCATCCTAATTATTTAGTGCTTATATTATTAACAAATAAAAAATTAGTGAATTTGCCAAAACCGTTGACTTAATGTTGATAGAGCGTCGGCCTGCGGACTGAGGGGTCCCGGGTTCGATCCTAATTATTTAGTGCTTATATTATTAACAAATAAAAAATTAGTGAATTAGCAGGCGGGTTTGACTTAATGTTACATGTTACTTATTTGTGTATGATAGGACTGTAAGAGATTTTGAGAGAAGAAAATGTGAGATTTTTAAACCGAAATTCAGGAAATTCAGGTGAAAGATTAATCTAGGTCGGGACGGCAAGCTTTTTCTGTGAAGGGCCAGGTAGTAAACACTTTAGGCTTCTCAGGCCACATGATCTCGGATTGTAGCCTGAAAGTGGCCGTAGACAATAAGTTAATGAATGGGCCCAGCTGTATTCCAATAAGTTCCTTCCTTCTTTCCTTCCTCCCCCCCTTCTCTCTCTCATTATTTGTCTTCCTCCTCCCTCCTTTCCTTTATTCCTCCTTCCCTCCCTTCCTTTCTTCCTTCCTTTCATTATTCCTGACCCAAAGATATTTTTACCATTAGTTTTTAGAGTGTGGAAGGAGTGGGGAGGAAGAGGAGAGAGGAAGG